GGTGGAATCACTTAGGAAGTAGGTGGGAGAGGTACAGGAGGAGGTGGCTAGGCTGAGGAACATCTGAACCCACAAGGAATTCCTCGAGAGTATTCATATGGAGACACCCAAGGCTGAGGAAGCTATCCAGCTACAGAGGACTGCTGTCACACCACCGGGGGAGGAGGATATGGCTCTGATACAGGGAGGACACTGGATGCTGGTTACTTCTGGCAGCAGGCAGTTCTCCACTGCTACTCCCAACCCACACACCATGGAGATAGAAAACCGATATGCTGCCCTGGCAACGAGCGATGAGGAATCACCCCAAAGGTGGAGGAGGGGAAGCCATGTACCCCCAAGGCTGGGAAGATCACAGCTACCACTCACAGGAGGAAATGTAGGGTAGTGGTGGTTGGTGACTCTTTTCTGAGGGGGATGAAGGCATCCATCTATCACCCTGACATGGCATCCGGGAGGTATGGTGCCTGCCAGGGGCCCATTTCCAAGACCTTACAGAGGGATTGTCAAGGACCATATGGCCCTCTGACTACTGCCCAAGGTGGCACTAATGATACTGCGAGGTATGACCTTCAGCAGATGAGAAGTGACTACAGGGCTCTGGGAGTAAGGGTGAAGAAGTTGGGAGCGCAGGTGGTGTTCTCTTAGATCCTTCTGGTCAAGGGTAGGGGCCCAGGCAGAGACAGATGCATCTTGGAGGTGAATGCCTGGCTGAGAAGATGGTGACACCAGGAAGGCTTTGATTTCCTTGACCATAGGATGCTGTTCCAGGAAGGACTGCTAAACAGAGATGGGGTTCACCTATCAAGGAAGGGGAAGAGCATATTTGGATACAGACTGGCAAACCTAGTGAGGGGGTTTTTAAACTAGGTTCAAAGGGGGCAGGTGACCAAAGCCCACAGGTAAGTCAAAAAACATAGGAGTCCTGGGAGAAGGGTCAGTATTTGGGGGGGATCATGGCTTGTTATAGCAGGGATAAGGGAGAGACAAGACAGAACTAATGGGGGGAAATCAAATCAGTGTTTTAGATGTCTGTTTACTAATGCAAGAAGTATGGAGAATAAGCAGGGAGAACTTGAAATGCTAGTAAA